AACCCTGTCTTGAAACACCAAAACCAAAACCAACAAACAAAAACCCTTATATGGTAGCCATAACTGGAGCCAGAATCCTCCACACAGAGACTTTGGTGTGGTTTTTCACAAGATGGTCGGTAGATTCCTGCTAAAAAAACTTGGTGAGCACAGTCTCTTTCCAGAGGTCAGGGTCAGGCAGCTGTAATTCTCAATCTGCAGTCATAGCTGGCCTGGTGTTCACTGTGTAGACCAGGCTGGCCTTGAACTCACGGAGATCCATCTGCTTCTAGATTTAAAGGTGTGCGCCACAACACCTGGCCTCCTCCACCCCCGAATGGTTGTAGACACTCTGGTTTTCTAAGGTCCTCAAACTTTATTATGCTTAGCTGTAACATGAAGCTATGAACAGCACCTACCTCAATGGATCACTGTAGGATTAAGTTGGCCTGTTGCCTAGCAACCAACTATGATAGCATTTTCAAAAGCCTTTTGAACACAGAATTCTGTGGGACCATAGAACTTGCCAGCTTTGGCCAGCTGGAACCCTGTAAACCATGATTGTGTCATGGGAAGAGGTGCAATAAAGGCCTGTCTCCAACACGGAACATTTCAAGCAGCCAGAGAGCACAGCTCTCCCCCAAATCTGAAATTTTTTTAAATTTCTAATCTCTTTTAACAGTCTGACGAACAAAACTGACTCTACACATTAAAACCTTCATCTGGAGGGCTAGAAGTCAGCAGTGTGTGTGTGTGTGTGTGTGTGTGTGTGTGTGTGTGTGTGTGTGTGTGTATGTGTGTGTGTGTGTGTGTGTGTGTGCGCGCGCGTGCGCGTGTGTAGTAAATCCAGAAACACGATGTCTTTTTTTCACTCAACAAACCCTTAATAGCCACCTACTCTATGCCAAGCCCCAGCAATGAGACATAGCCTCTGTTCTCCAGGAACCTACAGCCTACTTGTTGCAAGGGAGAGAAGTCCACACACAGTCCCTCCAGGACGCACACAGCCCTTTGCTGGAACACACAAAGGGCACTCCACAAGCTCAGCAGAAGGCAATTAGCTCAGAAGCAGAGCTCAGAGCACACTCTTAGGAGAAAGGACTTCTGGGCTGTTTCGAAAGATGAGTGGAATGATGTGGGGAGGAAGGCACAGAAGCAAAGCCAGCTCACTTCAGTGTCTGCCTGTGTTCAGCACAGCTGGATCACACAGCTGGAGAGGTCAGAGTAGGGCAGGTAGAGCATGAATAGTAACAAGGTCCTGTATACACAAGAACCAGAAGTCTAGCCTTTACCCTGGAGACTGTGGGAAGCCACTATACAGTATGGAAGCAAAGTGGAACTAGGCAAGTTATTCACTTACCTTTTAAATTATTCATTTAAAAAATAGGTTTTACATGAACACTGAACAAAATTCAAAGGTACAAATGGAGTTTATAGTCTCTCTCGGGCTTTTCCCTAATTCATGCATCTCCCCACCCAGAAGCAACCTGTTGACTCTGTTGAAGTTCTCCCCAAGACCTGCTCAGTTACCACATACATAAGCATAGTGGTGACATAAATCGGATGAATGGTGACTCAATTTTTCTCATTTATTATATTTTGGAGGTTAGAATACTGCTGCATGATGGCGATGGTTGTTTTGCTACGTTTTGTAACAGGGTCTGAGCTGACTGTACAGCTCAGACTGGCCTCCAGCTCACTACCCTCCTAACTCAGCCTCCCAAGTATGGCAAGATGGCTCAGAAGGCAATGGCAGCTGCCACCAATCCTGTGGATCTGACTTTAATCCTGTGGATCCGCATGGTAGGAAGAAAGCATTGACCCTGAGTGCTGTGCACTGCTGTGCCTGCCTGGATTATTTGGGTAATTTTCTAACATCTGCCAGCATTCCCGCAAGAGATGCTTAGAGGGACTGGAGAGATGGCTCAGAGGTTAAGAGCACACTGGTTGCTCTTCCAGAGGTCCTGAGTTCAAGTCCCAGCAACCACATAGTGGCTCACAACCATCTACAATGAGATCTGGTGCCCTCTTCTGGCATGCAGGCATACATGCAGACAGGACACTGTATATGAAATAAATAAAACTTTAAAAAAAAATTTTTTTTTTTAAAGAGATGCTTAGATTGTTCTAGTGTGTCAGAAGGTGTCTGCCTACCTTTCAGCTGGAGTCTGGAGAACAGACTAGGACTAGGGTACCAGCGGCAGCAAACCCCAGAGCGCGAGAGAGGTTACAAGTGAAGAGACAAGGCAGGTAGCACTGGAAGGGCAGAGGACTCTGGGGTCAGGAAGAAACTGGGTGATTAGTACTAACCACCTACAGGAGGCAGGAACTTTTGGTCACAGGTGTAGGCTGGAATCCCCCTGCACCATCCATGATGCTACCTTTGGAAGAGTGTTCACCAGCACTGTGGGATGAGTGTGTCCTACCCTTTCCACTCCCCAGAATTCGCTCAAGCGAAAGGCCAGGACAGATGCTACAGCCCACTTGCTACCCAGTGTCTGAGTAACCTCTGCAGCAAACTGAGATTTTGCAGTATTAATCTGGATTTTGTCTCTGTTTTGAAGATATTCACACATACAAGATTTTCCAACCATTGGCCGGGTTCTGAACAAGGAAGGGCAAGTCAATGTGTACTCGGAGGCCCACCCCTATGTTCTGTGGAACTTCAAGGTTATACCCAGGTATGCTCAGGAGGTGGAGACCATACAGACCCATAGCAGCTGAGAAAAGGGGGTCTGGGAGTCTGGAGAGCGTCTGGGTCTCTCAAGCAATGGGCAGTAAGGCCGTTACACCATCCGCCTTGAGCAGTGTCGGCCTAAGGTTGGATCTGTGACACACAGAGGTTTAACACTTCCCCTAAGTCCCCATGTCACGGGCCCTTAGACTTGATGGAATGGCAGGACCAAACCGTAGTGGTCTGACGCTGAGATACTTCTGCAAAATCCTGGGAAAACACATCAACTAGCAAGACGATGAGGGGTGCCTTAGCAACAAAATTAAATTGAAAGAAACAAAGACATACACGGTTTCTTTCCTATGTTGATTTATGGATTGAAAGCGCACCAGCTATACAACCTGTATATTTCTCCCGGATCTCTCAGGACAGTTGACAAAGGAAAGCTCTATTTGGCGGGCTGTTGGGCATGTACTCACCTGCAAAGAGGAGCACCTGGGGGTTCATTTTGTGAGTCCGCTGTCAGGCCTAAGGGCGGTCACTCTTTCCACTCCTTCATATTCCTAATACAGACTGTGTGAGCAAGTAGACCTTAACTTCTATATGGAAGGTAAGAGAGACAGGAAGAGGAGTGAAATCTGACCACCCAGGAAGTGCCCCAAAGGGTCAGTGGGCTGCCGTGGGACCCAGCACAATGCTTTGGGTAAGCAGTAGGCCCAGCTAAAAATTCTTCCTGGGTCTGTCGAAGCAGAGTGTGGTAGCTAGAAAGAAAATGGCCCTCTAAGGGAGAGGCCCTATTAGGAGGTGTGGCCTTGCTGGAGGAAGTGTGTCACCGTGGGGGCTGGCTTTGAGGTCTCTTTTTCTCATGCTTCCTTCAGTGTGGCAGTCAGTTGACTTCCTGGTGCCTTCTGGTCAAGATGAAGCCAGCTCCATGTGTGCCTGCACACCGCCATGCTCCCAGTCATGATGATAATAGACTGAACCTCTGAACTGTAAGATACCACCTCAATTAAATATTTTCTTTGTAAGAAAATGTCAAGTTGTCTTTTCACAGCAATAAGAACAATAAGACAATGTCCTATAGAAAGAGATGAATCTGAAGAAGAGAAGGCCATGAAGAACATACTGTCATACTGCTTGCCACCTGGGGACATGGTGTTCTCAGGTTCTAGGCTGTTGCCAAAGGCCATGTCTGGGTCTGTGAACCTACTACAGCCATGGTGGTGTAGATGTCTTTGGCCTGTTACCACTGAGGGCCCTGAAGAGTCCTGGGGTCAGGGCTACCACACACGGCCAAGTAGTGCCTGAAGGCCAAGCCACAGATGGGATTATCCCTATCTGGTTGGCCTGGGTTGTCACTCAGGGCCATGGAGTCCTCCAGGCTTGAGCTGCAGCCAGGGGCCATTGGTGGGTCTGTGGCCCTGCTGCAGCCAGGGTCTCTGTTGATGTTCATGGCACCTGTCAACATCAGGGGTCGTGTGGATGCCCAGAATCTGAGCCCTCACCTGGGACCATGTTAGGGCCTGAGGGCCACCCTGACGCCAGAGTGATACCGACCTGAAGGGCATATGCTGCCACCTGGGACCATTGTGCCATCTGGCCCTGGGCTGCTTCCAAGGACCATGTCTGGGTCCATGGTCCCACAGCAGCCCGGGTCTACATTGATGTCTGTGGCCTGTGGTACCACCAAAGGCTACACAGATGCCTGGAGTCTAAGCTGCAATCTGTGGCTATGTTGGCGCCCAAGGACTGTATTACCACTGGGGCCATGCTGGTCTGGGTGGCTTGTGCCACCAATGGGGCTATAGTGAGGTCTTGGCCTGAGCTGATGCTGAAGGCTATGTCTGAGTCCATGTTCCTGAAACAGCCGGGGTCTGTGATGAAGTCCATTGCCCATGTTGCCATGGGGGGTGGGTCATAGGAACCATGCATATTGAAATTGGAGGGCTGCATTGAGTTGGTCCTGCCCCTCACTGTCCCTGGGGTGACTGGCCCTGCCTCTTGCTGTTCACTGGCAGCAGGAGAGCTGACCCTGCACCAGAAGAGATGGCCCTAACTTCCATCATGGGCACAGGAGAAGTGGCCCTGTCCCTCACTGGAGGGTGGTGGTCCCAGTGGCCCGACCAACCAGCTCAGTTACCACCTATACTTACATCTTGAGCCTTGGATTGGCCTACCCTAACATCTACCCCATCTATGACCTGCTGGAGCATGTAAAGGGACTAGTCCTGTGGAACAACAACCACAGGATCTGCATGACTTGGGGCAATATCAGGATATCCAAGAGGAGTTATAGTGAGGGTCCATGCTTGCTGCCATGATGGTCATGGACTCTGACCTCTGAAAGTGGAAGTCCCAAAAGTTAAGTCTTTTTTAATAGATTGCCTTGGCCATGGTGTTTTATTGCAACAATAGAAAAGTAACTAAGACAAACAGGGTCTCACTGTGTTGTGCTAGATAGTTTTAAGTCAACTTGACACAAGCTAGTTATCTGAAAGGAGGGAACCTCAACTGAGAAAATGCCTCCACAAGATCTAGCTGTAGAGCCAGTCAGTGGTGGCACACGTCTTTAATTCCAGCACTCAGGAGGCAGAGGCAGGTAGATCTCTAATGAGGTGGAGAAGGCATCTCAGGGGTAGAGCAGTTGCTGGTGTGCGCACGACCCTGAGTTCAATCCTCAGCAGTGCAGGACAAACCCATTCAATGTTTGGAAACTCTCCCTACTACTACTCGAATTGCACATCCTTTTAAGTATTTTGTCATAAATTTTATGACACAGTTATTCTTCAGTTGGTAACTGGTAATTCATGTTTTATACATTTCTTTCCTTTTAAAGTTAAAAAATTGTGTGTACAGATGTGCACGCCTATTTGTGCATGGGCATGAAGGGTCAGAGGTCAATGTTGGGTGTATTCCCCAATTGCGCTCCACCTTATTTGAAATAAGGTCTCTGACCCAGGGGCTCACAGATTCAGCCTGATTGCTGGCCAGCAAGCCACAAGGATCTTGTCTCTGCACCCCCAGAACTGCAGTTACAGGGGTATGCTTCTTATAAGTACTAATGATCAACGGCAGGCCCCCATGCTTGTGACAAGCAGGTAAGCAACTGAGCCGTCTCCCCTGATCCCTGCTTCTTTTCCTAGCTCTTTGCATATTCTGACTGTAGACTTAAAAGTTTTAATACACATGTAAGAAACTACTCCCTCCTAGTATGCTGCTTTGGACCTGTGATCTTTTTCCCTTATTGCTTTGTTTTGGTCTTAAAGGCTGCCTTCTCTATAACATCTACATACTCTTCTAGTGTATGTATATGCTATAATTTATAAGACCCCCCTCTCACCAGAAATTAAGGTTGTTCCAATTTGTCTCTAATATAAAGAATACTCTAAGAAACAACTGTGTCCAATGTGATGCTTTGATTTTGTTTTTGAGACAGGTTCTAATGTAGCCCACCCAGGCTGATATTTAACTCCCTACATAGCCAGAGATGATCTTGAACTTCTGAACCTCCTGCCTCTTCCTCTCAAGTGCTGGGATTACAGGCATGTGCATCCATGCCTGGCACCTGCAATTTCAATTAATCAATTAATTTTGGTACTGGGGATTAAACCTAGGACCATCAGCATACTAGGTAAGCACACTACAACTGAGCTCTATCCCTAGCCCTTTTTATAGTCTTTGAGACAAGCTCTCACTAGGGTGCCCAGGCTGGCATTGACTCTGCAGTCCAGGCAAGTCCTGAACTTGCCATCCTTTGTGTCATCCTCTATGGCAGCTGGTGTTAGAGGCCTGCACAACCAGGTTCAGCTCTCAACATGACATTTTAGCAGATCTTAGTATCTAGCAAATAGAGCATTATAAAGATTTTCTAATGCAGATGAGGAGAAAGGCAGGAGGCTTTTTTGCAAGCTCACATCAAGGTATGTTTTAAAATGCATCCAATGCCAACCAAGTCATTAGGGAATTAGCCCTCTGGAGCTATTCCTCCTTTATCCAGCTAATCAAGAGTTGACACTGCTTCTAAAATCTCGACATGGAGATCAAGCTTAGGTCTGCCCTATGACTGAACTTCCAAGGTGGGGGATCAACTACCTAGGATGGGTCTGGGATCATACACCTAAATGTTCTTTCTTGACATCGATGCTAAGGTGCAGTTTTGCTTGGTGAACTTCAAGGTTTACATCTTAGAAGAGGGAGAATGTGCTTGTGAAGATGAGGTAGAGGGAAAAGATGCCTGGAATCCAGGAGTCTGGGCTGCCACAGAAGTGGGATGCCCTGCTTCAGACCCAGCAGGTGGAGCTTGGTGTGCTGCAGGTGAGGCACTGGATATAGGAGGTATGAACCTATGTCCTGAAGGAGGAGTCTCATGACCCATAGGTGGGGCTTCATATCTAGGAGGTGGAGATCCAGATCCCACAGTTGCAGTTTCGTATCTGGGAGGTGGGACCTCGTATCTGGGAGGTGGGACTTCGTATCTGGGAGGTGGGACTCCGTACTCCATAGTGGGGGCTTCATATCCAGGAGGCAGGACTCCATAGCCCATAGGGGTAGCTCCATATACAGGAGGAGGGGATCCATATCCCCTAGCTCCGTATCCAGGAGGCAGGACATTATAACTGGGAGGTGGGGCTCCGTATCCCGAAGGGGGGACTCCATAGGCAACTGGGAATGGCAAAAAGGAAAAAAAACTGTTACCCTGTGAGCAAAGAATATCTGAAGAACACCAAAACACAATGCCAAGGGAAACACACACGAGAATCCAGTTGTGCTAAAACCTTTTCTTTAGCCATCAGCAGACGAAAGCCTTAGCTTTCTTCTGGTGAGGCGATCTGAATTACCTGGAAACAGCCTCTGATCATTACTTAGAGTTGTACAAATACATATTTTATTTGTTAAAGTTTGTTATGTTTATGAAAACACCCTCAGTGAGAAGTATAATTTGGAGGGAATTATAACTATAACTAAAAGGGAAAACGTGATTTTTAAAGGAGGGGTGGCTCTGGAGGGATGGCTCAGTAGTTAGAGCACTGGCTGCTCTTTCAGAGGACCCGGGTTCAATTCCCAGCACCCACCTGGCACAACCATTTGTAACTCCACCTCCCCTCCCCCACCTCCTCACAGATCTTCCCACCTCCCTCCCTACTTCATGTTCTCTCCCTCTTTCTTCCCCTAAACTCATAAAATAAAAAACAAAGGTATACACAAACAAAAACAGTTTGGAGTTGACCTGCTACTCCTGGGCACAGGGTGTGCCCTGGCGTGTGGTTGATAGCCCAGTGACGCTCCAGTCGAGAAAACTGATTTCCCTTTCTCAGAGGGTACTAGTTACAAACAGCCACTCAGTGTCCACTTCCCCTTCTCCATGATGGGATTTTGTCTGGTTTGAACCTGTGAGGTCTTGTATGTGCTGTCTGTCTCTGAGTTATGTGCATCAGTCCCGTGTGTCTAGAAGACACTGGTTCCTTGGAATCATCTATCATCTCTGGCTCTTACAATCTTTCTCCCTCCTTGCTGAATTCAAGGATAAAAAGAACAGTTGGGAATTGTGGCACACATCTTTAATCCT